CTACCAAAGTTTAAACGTTTGACAGCTAAAAACAGCAAATTAAAGTAATTTGAACAAAATCATGGGTAAAAGCCAGATCTTGATCAAGAATTCAGAAACCCAAAACCCAAATTCAGATATCCAAGCAAAACTCCAGAATCCCAATCCAAAACTTACACATTGACCGCCATTATCAAAAATCATAGTAGAAAGAACTAAAATTCATCAAACCCCTTATATAACCAGTGAGTCTTAAACCCACAAAAGCTACCAATGTTCAAAACTCGCAGAGCTAAACACAGAAAGATCAAGTAACTTCTAACAAAATCATGGTTAAAATTCAGAACTTATATAATGAGTGAGACACACAATAAGCTAACAAAGTTAAAAAGTTGCACAACTAGACACAAATTATTCAATTAATTCCAAAAAAACTCTCACATTAACCGTGATTATCAAAAATCATAGTACAAATTACTAAAACCCCGTCTAATCCCTTATACAATGGGTGAGGTTTAAATCCACAAAGCTAACAAAGTTTAATACTTGCACAGCTAAACACAGAAAATTGAAGTAATTTTAACAAAACATGGGTAAAAACCAGGCCTTTATCAAGATTGCAGAACTAAGACCTCATCAAACTCGACTTAAACCCACAAAAGCTAACAAAGTTTAAAAACTTGCACAGCTAAACCCAAAATATTCAACTAATTCTAGCAAAATAAAGGGCAAAAATCTGACCTTGATCAGGATAGTGTCACCGCGAAAAAGCTGAAGCTTCTCCATAGTATCAGGGTGAAGAGCAACAACAGAGTTGTCATCGTTGATTGCTTCATCAACAACAAGGCGATTAGGCGACTTCTTCCTCTCCAATATCGCCGTACTATAGTCCCTCTTTGTCCCTTTCCTGTACACATATTTACATAAATACCACAACAAAATCGAAGATCAAAATCACAAACTAAATCTACAACGTGTTGTTTCGTTGTAAAGATCGGGAAAAAGGGTACTTACGAATCGGAGGATTCAGCTTTGTTAGTCATGATTTTTGCAGAAGTTGATAGGTCTCTGAAGAGTTTCTGATTTTGTGTAATGTTTGAGTATGAAGGATCTGCCCATGGGTGGGGAAACGAGGAGTTTATATAAAGAGTGTTACTCCATTTCTTGTTAGGAAAGAAATCCTTTTTTGTTTTTGTTTTTGTTTTGATTTTATCACTTAAGTATTTTTTTTTCTTTTTCCTTTTCATTGTTTAAGAGGGATATTAAGCACTTCTTCTTTCTTTTCTTTAAAAGAAAAGCAAATATTATCACTGCTTCTATTTCCTTTGTCGAGACGCGAGTTGCTCCGATGATAAGCAACCTCCACTTCTAATCAAGAGGTTGTGAGTTTGAGTCTCCTCAAGAGCAAGATTGGAAGTTCTTAGAGGAAAGGATGCCGGAGATCTATTTGGAAACAACATCTCTACTCCGGATAGGGGTAAGATTTGCATATACACTAAAAGACCCCACTAAATAAGATTATAATGGGTTGTTTGTGTTGTTGTTGTCGTTGCTTCTATTATGTGACCAGTCCAATTTCTAGAATTTTTTTCTTTGGCCTAGCATCTTCCAGCAATTTAATTCGAACAAGAAAAAAATTCAGATACACTAGCAACAATAAATTTTAAGCAATAATAATTAATAATAAGCAAATTAATTTTCTCTGCTTTCTTATTTTAATTAAAAGTTAATTTGACATGTGCACTATAATTATGGTATCACTTTAGTATTAATCAGTCAATCAATGTCATCTCAATTCCAACTAGTTGGAAGCGATTGTACGCGGAGCCAAAAATTTTGTATAAAAGAATCGGGAAAAAGTCCAAAATTGCCCTTAAACTATCTGAAATTAGTATAAAAATGTCCCCTGTCCATCTATTTGAATAAAAATGCCTTTAGTGTTATTTTTTTGGCTCAACATTACCCTCGTTACTAACAAAAAAATTTTAATTTCTTTTTTTTTAATTAATATCCACACGTCACCATTCCATTGACCTAACTTGAACTTCAACCAAAATATTATTAAACTCACCCATAATTCGTCCGAATATAGACCCGCTCTGATTCTAAAACATAACTCTCTCTCTCCCCTTGTTCTTCTTCTCCTCGGTTCTACTTGGGCGGAATCCACAGATCCGCCGGAAATAGCAACAAACACAACAACCAATCTCACTTGCAAATTATGGATAGAAAATCCTTTTTTTTACTAGACTTAGCGCAGTAATCTAATCGAAAAAAAAGTAAATCCATAATAACAAAAATGATTTCAAAAGAAGAAAACAAATACTAGTAAAGAAATTATTTAAAGAATTGCCAACTATTATTAGTACATCATATGAACCCAATGTGTATGATATGTGATAATTGCACAATACCCGTTACAAAGAACAGAAAAGCTTAAATATTAATAGAACAAATAGTAAAATAAATTAAAAATAAAAATACAAATTACATAAACAATAAAAAAGATTAAACAAAATCCTTAGATTTTCATAGAGGAATGACAAAAAATAATAAAGAAAACCACCCGAAATTTCAAATAAAAAAAATACAATGGGATCAGATCACCCTGGGCTACTGAAGAGTCATCTGGAAAAAAATACCCATTACATAAACAAAAAGAATCTAAATTTTTTTACATAAAGAAGAGTATGGCACTTCCTTCCATCTTCCATAAAAATTATTCTAATAGAGAACTCAATTTTGGATTTGCCTCATGAATAATCGTAGACATACACTCGTACAAAAAATGCTCATTAAAACGAAATGGCGAAGAGACAAAGGTGAGAGAGAGAGGGTGTGTGTGTGTGAGAGAGAGAGAGTTATGTTTTAAAATTGGGGCAGGTCAATATCCGGGAGGCTTACATATGGGTTTAATTATAATTTAACTTAAGGTTTACGTTAGGCCAATGGGACGGTTACACGTAGATATTAATTAATTTTTTTTATTTTCTTCAGAATTTTCTATTAGTAATAAGGGTAATGTTGAGCCCAAAAAATAACAGTAGGGGCATTTTTATACAAATAGGTGGACGAAGGACATTTTTGTACCAATTTTGATACTTCAGGGACAGTTCTGGCACTTTTCCGTAAAAGAATTTAAGAAAATAACAAAAATTAGAATGTTACACTTGAGGCTTGAAATGTGACCTAAAACACTTTTTAAATCTTGTTACCGCTTCATTGGACTTTATCCTTGCAAGGGGGATTCAATAGTTTACCTATCGACTTTGCAGCAAAATCTCAATATATTAGAATATTATATTGAATCCCAAGAATGTTATCTTGTTACAACGAAAACAAAAATTAGAATGTTATACTTGAGGCTTGAAACGTGTCTAAGTAGTGTGTCTTAGATACACTTTTGAAAGGTTGCGTGTTAAAAGGTTTCTCGTGAAGGAAAGGTGTGTAATAAGAGTTTCGTTGCAAGGTTGATGAGTAAACTATGTATTTTGCCTAAAAAGAATTTATTTTGCTCTATTACACATTATAATTTCTCGAACTCTTTTTAAATATTTTAAATTATTAACTTTGTTTATTCATAGCACTTTTCACATTAAAATATATAAATTTTAATTCAAAAGAGTTAAAAAAAATATACCTAAATTCGCACTAAGGTTAGGCTTGATCCTCATACTGGAAACCCCTTTACATAAAATGGGAGGGAGAGAGCATATTTCATTATTTTATTTCAATCGCAAAAATATGCAAGTCTATGACCTGAGCCTTGAGGTAAGTTTCAATATTACATTGGCCTTACCCTGACTGTGTCTAGAACAAGTCATATGACACTGAATTTACGGGTAAAAAGAGGGTTGTTAATATTACTTTGTCGATTCGTACTCGAATTTTGAGCATGAGAACTTAATTATTTGGAAGCAAGGCGGGCTCAGAATTTGAGTATGAACTGGGCATTATTATCTTTAGATATGTCAATTACTAGTGATAAAATTTAGGCAAAACCCTTAAATGACCCCTTAAACTCGGCTTTGCTTTTAATTTTGATACATTTACTTTAGCCTTTTCTATTTTGACACTCAACTCATTCCTTCATGTGTTACTTAAATACAAAATGCTGACTTGTCACATTGAGTGAATTTCCACACCCAGGTTGCGCGTGAGGCTATAATTTTAGTCCCATTTTAACGATAATAAATCTTACCATCGGGCCCGCTTTTATATCCGATTTGCCTATCTCTTTCTTCATTATCATATGCAAAATAAGCTCTAAATGTCAAAAGCTCCATCTCCATGAATATTCAAAGACTGCATTGTTTCTTCAATTTGTTGAACCTTTACGTTAAATTTATAAGAAGTTGAACTCTATTATACTAGTTGTCTTCTTCTTCTTCTTCTTCTTCTTCTTCTTCTTCTTCTTCTTCTTCTTCTTCTTCTTCTTCTTCTTCCCTAAAGTATAGCGCGGTTCTATATGTATATCGCATGTATTAACTGCGTTATATATATAAAGCATGAAATCACCACATTCACTACAAGAAATTAGACTTTTAGTGGCGACTAAAGTCGCTAAAAAAACCCACAAAGTCGCCGCTAACGATATATAGGAGCGACCTTAGGGTTGCTGCAGGTACAACCGTTACTGAATGTTTTTTGTGGCAACTCCTTGGGGCGCTACAAAAAGACATATTTGTAGCGACTGTAGTCGCTACAAATAGTGAATAAATATGCGACAAAAAAGTGTTTCCCAAACCAAATTTTTGGTAGGTCGACACTAAAGGATTACAAGTAGTAGCGACTACAGTCGCCACTAAAACTTCTATAGTTTCAGTGGCACCTCTCGTCGCTACAATATCTTGAAATTTAGTGGCAACGTTGATGGCCGTAAATACTGATTGCTTTTGCAACAAGGTTATGTCGCCACTAAAAACCTATTTTCCCAAAAAATATAATGGTCAAAATTCAAATACATTTCTACCAAATTGCTATCAATATATAAAGCATCCAAAATTATTGAACAACCAATAAAAACATATCTCAAAGTCAAATATTATAAATACTTTCATGAATACAAAGTTAGTTAAATATATACTACACAATACTTCATTGTTCGTTATCATTGTACGCATATACATACGATAAAAAAGAAAAAGTAGAATATTAAGTGTCTTCAATCTCCTCCTTGGTCAATGCCGCTTGCGATCACGTTTAAGAAACCTTGTCCCTGTTATTAAGGAAAAATTACACATAATTACTTTGACAATCTCATAATTTAAAGATAATAGCAAAAAGGGTGATCACACTTGATTTAACTATTTTATTAGCTATTAGGAAAAGAAAGTTTGATATCAAAAAGGCTATATAGGAAAAGCTACCAATATCAAATACATTAACCGCTAGAAGTAGATCCAGAGGCATTGGAAATGTATACTAACTCTTAAGAGCAACTCTAAAAGTGAAACAGAGAGTGCCAGGTTTATTCACCCATTCAACAACCCAGCATTTCAAGTCTTAGTGGCAGGATTTTCTTTAACTAGCAGAACCAACCAAGTGGAATAAGTTAATTCCTCTTAGAAATGTTATGACAATCTAATCTTATCTATCATATTTATTGCTCCTTATTTATATGAACCATCAATTGACCCAAGGAAGAGTTCCAATAAAGCTAACAACTCAACAAATTAAGCTAGTAAAGGGACGGATTCAAAAGAGGTAACAACATATAGAATCGTCAATACAAAGATGTCGTTTTCACTATTAGTGTATACCTAATTTATAAATATTCTTTGGAAAGGACTCTTATATGCATTTAAACGTCAAAAGAAAAACTTAGAGAGTGAGGAATATTTCCGGCACATAGAAGGTGAAGCAGAGACAAAATACCAAACATTTCTATTATGAGGCAAAAACAAACACGTTACGTACAATTACCTATTTTTTAAAGTGTAGGTATCTTAATTCCTCACATTGTCCAAATTTAGCAAGAAAACAAACCAAAGATGACCATCAGGTACTTCACATATATAAAGTAGTACAAAATCAAGCTTTTCGGAATCAAGCACAACATTTGAAGTTGTATTTCGACTACATTTAAGTCAATAAAATAGACTATTCAAAATTGCAATATGATTTTTTAAACGACATATCAGACATCAATGGATATAAATTCTCAATGTGTCAACTCTAGTTGTAAAGACTTGAAAATAACATACATATTATGCAAAAAGTGTCTTATTAAGACCTATAATTTTCACTAGCAAGCAGTAACCAGTTTACCAAAGAAACTTTAAGATGAAAGTTCACATATTAACACACACATGCCATCCTAACTAAGAACATGTTTAATAGAGTTTAGATGAAAACAGACCCATGAAGATTGCAGTTTTACTCATAGAACATGTTTCCAGATTTATACAACTACTCAAGGTTATGACATATTAAGGCATAACAGGAAGCTAATCATATTTCTTGAAGACCTGACTTAAAAAAAAGAAGAAGATGTACTCCACATTTTAATCATCATTCAGTAAGTATTCTTTTTTATTTAGCTCTGCACCTAAATATAGCATAGAACACCTACTGGTGATGAGTTTTATGTATACATGGGAATAGACTCCAAACAACAAGTCAAAAATAGTACAAATAAATGAAAATCCCTTCAGGTCACTTAATTTGTCATATCCTAAATAAATTCCTTGAGAAATATTTTAATAGTAGCGAAGAAGAGCAGACCAAATCATGTTCTAGATTGGATTAAAAAACATAGCTCGGCCTTATGCGTCCTTCAGACGAGTAATGTCCGTAGAATTATTATGATAATATTTTTCCAAGTTATACACATGTTCGTGCATGGTATAGTCGAGAAAATAACAAAATTTAGTTTTCTATCAAATTAGCTACTGATTCATGGCGTTTTACTAAAGCATAGTTTCTAAGTCATGGGTGAAAAAACTGAAGTCAGATTTTCCAATACAAATAGAATCTTTAGGAACAACAATAAACCGTATTTGTATAGTCTCTTAAATGGAAAAGAACCAAAATACATATTAGCTAAAAGGAATAAGATTTTTCCTTATACAAATAGTATCTCTTAAATGGAATAGGATTTTCCAAAGCCATGATATTTATAGACATAATCAGAACTCAAATGGAGTTATGAATCAAAACGAAGATTAGCTTTGATGAAAACACCCAAACCAAAGAACACCATTGTAGATTTCTGAAAAAAGTATTTATAATGTAAGTCAAATTTTCACTGCTCTTCTATATCATAAGGGCAATTTATTAGTGTTGGCATTCTAATAGTGAAAGTTACTGCCCCATAATACTTTTATTATAAATATTATATCTAGTACAACTCCAACTTTAATCTAAAGAAGAACAAATATGAAATTCTTGACAACATGTTTTTCATTCATTGAGTACTCACTAAAATGATTCATTAGGCATTGACATCCTAGTGTAACCAATGAATCAATTTCCTTTTGTGTGGCATCCTAAAAGTAATACCAATAGTAAATCTTAGAAGCTCCACTTATACTCCCGTCTCCCCAAGGAAAGGCAGTAAAATATAATGAAAGAATGAAATAAAAAAGGTAATTAACTTTGTAAAGCCTATGGCAATTTAGTATATATGATCAAGCAATAAAACAACTATATCCAAAATTTGAACACCCCTATAATAAATAGAGGCACAACAGAAGGCCCAATCATAGATTATAGAAGAAAATAAATAACTACAAATCTTATTGAACAACATCAATGAATCTTAACAAAAACTTGTGACATTTATACAATCAAAAGAAAGACTCTTTCTATAAGAGCAGCAATATACGATTGATGGTAAAATTAGCATTCTACCCATAATGAAAATCACTACAATGAACATAGACTTGCGATACCAAACCGGCAATAAATCCAAAACATTTTGAGCATCCATAAATTATACTAATTGGGAAATAACATACAAACCCATCACTAGATCTGTCATCATCCTATCCATTCCACAATTTCATATCAAATTTCATATGCTCCTCCAAATCAAAAACTAAAATTGACATTAACCCTAAAACTCAAGAGCAGAAGTTTCCAAGAATCTTCAAAGAAATCCAACTTCTCTGTTCAATAATACATTTTTACCAGATTTGAGAAAAAAATCCAAACAAAATATATAGTATTAAATATCAAGTTTCAGCAACAAAAGTTTCCTATCACACTCTAAAAATCCGAATTAATACAGGCATAAATAAGGAAGAACGTTGAGAAATAAACTAGAAAGTAAAATACCAAAAAGAAAATCTCCAAGTTGCAAACCTCAAAGGAAATGAGGAAAATACCTAAGTTCTAGGCGTACTGAAGATACGTAAGTTCCTCTCCAAAAACAAATAGATTGCTTCCATCTTCTATTCCATCTCTCAACTCGGAATCTTCTCCAACATCAACGATTCGAGCTATATAGAGAGAAGGTGGGCTCTTAATGGCTCTCATGGAAACCAATAAGAATTTCAGAAGAAGGTGGTGAAGGGATTTGGGAAAATGGAGAGTTTTAAATGGCCATCAGAGTTCTAGGGTTTTGGCAGAAAGAGATGAACGATTTGGGTAAATGAGAGAAATAAAAAAAGACAGGAAGCATTTACTTAAAATTATAGTTTTCTAATTTTATGATGAAAGAATTAGAGGCGACTCAATCGCCTCAATAGACCTTTTGTGGCAACTTTTGATTGGCCGCTACAAATAAAATTTTTATTTTAGGAGGAATTAAAGAATTAATGTAAATTAGAAGCGACTTTAATAAAGTCGCCACTAAAAATTTACTTTTTGTAACGGCTACCGTAGTCGCTGCTAAAGCTTTCACTATTTGTGGCAACATTTTTGAGTCGCCACTAAAACCATACCAATAGTGGCAACTGAAGTGGTCGCTACTGAAGGTCGCTACAAAGAAACTAGTAATTTCTTGTAGTGATTATACATGAAACCACTGGGTGGCCCAATGGTTGAAGGGTAGTTATGAAAATGGTTTTGTCCTTGAGGTTCAAGGTTCGAATCCATACACCAATATTCTTGTATTTTTCTATTTCTTTTTCATTTTTTCATTATTTGGTTTAAGTGTTTAGATATAAATACTTTAATAGAGAAGTCTTTTATTATTTCTTTAAAAAATCAACCAATATTTTTAATAGTTATTATTTTTTGTTATACGTAAAACAAAATTATTTTTTTCCTTTTATTTTCAAATTAGAATTATAAGTTTTATTTTATAGTTAAAATTTCCATAAGAGAATATATATATATAGCTTAATCTATTGGTTGAATCATTTTATTTTTTGATATCTTTTTTTCTAAATTAGTTAGCAAATATATATTATTCAATAGATAAGAAAAGAATACATTTCAAAAATAGAAAAATATTTGGACATCTATATTATATTAAAAGAAAAATAGTGAAACATGTGATTAAGTCAAGTAGCAAGCTAAAAAGATAAGAAAAGAATACAATCCAAAAAATAAAAAAATATCTAGACATCTATATTTTTCTATTACATAGAAGAGAGAAGATGATCGACCAATGGTATATTTGTAAATCTAGCTTCTTTTAAGGGCAAAATAGTAATTGTGTCAGTACTTGTTAAAATAAAACTCTAGAAGGATCCGATTTTTCATTCTAAGCTTTAACTGTCTTGTAGCATGTTTGACCAAGCTTATTTCTGGCCAAAAGTGTTTTTTTTTTCCAAAAACACTTTTGGCCAAAAATTAAGGTGTTTGGCCAAGCTTTTGGAAGGAAAAAAGTGCTTTTGAGGAGAAGCAGAAACAGTTTTGGAGAAGCAGAAAAAAGTAGCTTCTTTCCAAAAGCACTTTTTTGAGAAAAATACACTTAAAAGCAGTTTTTTAAAACTTGGCCAAACACTAATTGCTGCTCAGAAGTGCTTTTCAAACTAATTAGTCAAACACAAACTGGTGAGAAAGCACTTTTGAAAAAAAATACTTTTCAAAATAAGCTGATTTTTGCAGCTTGACCAAACGGGCTATTAGTCCATACTGATGAAATATGGAATTGCTTTCCAATTTCTCCTTTGTTCTTCCAGTTTTGACTTGGTCTGTGCTACATTTCTGAGTTCTGTTGAATTTTTCTTCACTGTCGCTTGCTTTGCCTGTTGTATCCATTTGTTATTTGTTGCACCTCTTTGTTGGTAATGGGTATTTTGTGGATATCTCTTATTTATTGTTCTTTTGGAATATTTTTTCCACTGTGTACATCTGCTTTTGACATGCATGTTTGGTTTCTTCATGTATAGGTTTAAACACGATTTGGGCACATTGAATTAACATCTGGAGCGAAAATGACATAAAAACAGACAAGAGCATTGTTGCAGCCAAGGTATTTGACCATATGCCGTAAAAAACTATATCTCGGCATTAAAGGCTGAAATGTTTGAAATTGGGCTTCAATAATTGAGTTGGAGATTTTGTTAACTGATGGTTCTAATGGCTAATTGGCAATTTTCTTAATATTTATATGGCCAATTAATACCCCTCATTTTTTGAATTTATTTATAGATTATGTAACTTTGATGCAGGACCTCAATCTATTATATTATAACTGCAGATAGCAGAAAAAAGCAAGCACCTTATGCTGGAGCTTTCTTTGGAAGATGAACAACGCTAATCGTAATGTTTTGTCTGCTCAGATACAAAGAAGACGTGTATGAGCTCAAAGGAAAAACTTTAGTTAACGTTCTTCACGAAATTGTGCGTGTTTGTTCAGATTTGTTATTACTGCTTTTCTTATTATGTTTCTTTACGCAACCCCAAGGAATTGTTGGGGTTACTTTGGTGAGTAATGAGATTGCTCTATTTTAAGAAATTTTTAGGTTTGAGGAATTTATTATTGATGAACTACAATTAAAGAAAAATCGGATGAGTGGGGTAAGACCAAATGTGTAAGAAATGAAATGGATTTTGAGTTGCACCACGCGTAATTTAAAGTGTAATATGACTAGGTTGATATTTTGGGAAGTGTAACTCTTTAAAATTATAGTAATGTGTAACTTAGTTGCAAGTATTTTATTTAAAGATTTCGGAGGTTAATTTGATAAGTTTATTGTCTTCACCTTTTTCATGAAGTTTATTTACTTATTTATCTTTTACTTGATTGAAAAATCTTTGAGATAGAATGCTGGAAAAAAAAAAGAGATATAAAAAAGAAACAAGAAGAGAATTTAGGTTACAAGTACAATATTAGATAATTAAGAGATGAAAAAAGAAGATATTTTAATGAGAAGTACAACATTAGAAAATTAAGAGATGAAGACGGACAATGTTTATTCTGTGTTCAAAATGGGTTTAGGAATGACTACAACAACAACGACCCAGTACAATCCTACAAGTGGGATCTGAGAATGACTACATTGAAATGAAAACAAAAACACTAAGCTGATATGTTTAATGTTTCCTTTTTCTTTCTTTATTTTGGGCGACAGTAATTGACCCAGATAATATGCAAATCAAGTATATTTGTGTTCTTCTATTTGAACAAAGTAAGTAATATTTATTTCTTGCTGCTTGGGGTTTATATATATATTTTTAGCATTCATGGTATTTGGTGTTCTTTGATGCTTTGTACACGCGAATAGAATTGAGCATGGATTTGATTTCATGTCCCCTGGCTCTCTGACACGATGTGCTATACATTTTCAATAGAGCACTGAAATGATTATTAGTTTGCGTCTAACAGCTTTCAAGCTTCTATTGTGTTCTTGTTATGCTGCATGCTTAGCTACTTTACCACAAACATTTATAGTATTAAAAAGCTCCCTAAGATTTCATTGCATTTAGTTTTTGGTATAGGTCGTTAACTATTCTAATTTGTCGGTTTTCTCTAACATTCCAAAAATATATGTTGTATTTCTGATAAATTGATATTGAAAGAGCATCAAGATAGGGAAAGTATGATTCTCTTTTAGGACACTATACAAATGCAAGAGATAATCTACAAACTGAACATAATTAATTGCTATTGAGAGAGTTATAACCAAATATGAATTAAAACTTTCAGACAAACATTATGGAATTTGGGAGGTGTCTATTTTGTATTTGTTATACCTGTAGTTTATTGATATTCCTCAATCAAAGTAACAAGTGGTGTCAAATAAATAAAATGACATGGCCATTAGTTATTAAATTTTACGTTGGAGACAACAATTTATCTATGCAGATTTTGTACTTCTTGTTCCGCAACAGTAAATTTTTCTTGATGCTTGGTATTTGGATGTCCCATATTTGTTTGTTGGAAACTCCTGCTACCCTAAAAGACTTAAGTATTAGCTGTCCTTTTTTCTAAATGTTTTGCTTTTGAAAAATCAACTTTTGAGGAGATTGCTCAAGAGTTGTGTGAAAGTTCTTTATATCATATTAAGATTGCTCTCTATTGTTTTCCACTATTACTCTTTTTTATTTCTTAAAAGGCATGAAGTAGACAAAAGAACGCGGATGACCCCTAACCTTTGAAGTTGAAGAGTGAGATAGTTAATTTGTTATGTTGCGTTTGTTGGTTCCATAAGTTTCTTGATGATTTCTTTCCTTCACTTCGTTTTCTTGAAGGCAGGAGGTGAATTTTGATGAGTTTTCCACGTAAACAGGTATTCTATATGAGTAATTTGGATAGAAAATAATCTTCGTCCTGACATTTATATTTATTTTCTCTTAAATCTGATAAAAAAAATTCATCTGTTACTCTTCCTCTCTTCCCTTCATTTTCTTTTAGGTCAATAAAGGTGTAATTTTATTGAGTTCCTCATACAAATAGGTAAATTTATGTATTTAACTCACCTGGTGAAACTGATTGTGGTCTTGACATTACTTATCCCCAAAAAAATTGGTCTTGACTTCTTTCTAAGGCAATATTAATCACGCTTCAGCAATTACGTGGCCTTTGAGAGCTCTGTTGTTAATATGAGTTCGAAGTACTTGGCATACATTAGCTGATTATTTGATAGAAATTTTTTCTTATTCTGCGGCACCTGGTTCTATTTCCTGAAACTAACTGTCTAGATCAAGCATCTGACTTACCAGAAGGTGTGTTAAATTCATTGCAATTATTTTGTTTCTTTTTGTGAAATCTTGTAAAGTGAAGTGCTAGAAAAATGAATCTTTGAGTTTGTGCATTGATGCATGATGAAAAATTTTGGTTTTAAAACTGAAAGCCATAAGTAAAAGCATATTATTTATGAATCCTGACATTCATGTATATGCATTTTTTGGATAAATATTTTCTCTATACAGATGATTAAATGTAGTTAGTCACGTTAGAGGGATAGAAATAGAAAACAGGCTTTGGTTAGCTTTTCAAAAGTGCTAGACTATTTTATTCTGCTATTATTCGTATGTATTGGACCGTTTAAGTGATGTATATTGCTAGCATACTACAGTAAAAATGGAAACTAAACTGTACTTGGTCGAATGAAGGAAAAGAGCTGCTATAGCAAAGCTAATATACTTTGGTATGTTGTCCTTGACACGGCTATGTCTTATGGACCTATTTATGGGAAGAAAGAGTTTCACATTCAATATTGTATGCCTTTTGTGCTACATCATAATTTGACCACACTAAAGCAAATTGAGATTCAAACTCATCTACTTGTATAACAGACTCAATATTATTAGTTGTTTTGCGTATTCCTATCTTTTTGTGCTTTTTGCTGAATTTGTTGTTTGATACATTTCAACCTAAAATTTCTATTTGTCTAAGGTGAATATTTGTTGGTGTTAGTAAGTAAAAATTTACTGAAACCACCTCTTTTGCTTTTTTATATAGCATTTGACAGTGATGGGTAGGAGCGATGTGTTGAATCATGGATTTAGCTATCCATGCCACATCATCAGTTTGTCGAGACTTTATTAATAACAAATTGTTTTGTATATTTCCTTTGTTTTTCCCTGCGTCTAATTCTAAATCCAGCACGTGAGTGGATATTCTAGCTGATAATGGATAAAATCATTTGTAATATCGAACATAAAAATGCAAGATTTTGTGTCCATTGATTCAAATGTATTTCTTGCAATCGTAGTGCTGGTATGCTTTATCAAATGCACCAAAAAAGGATATGTATATGTTGGGCCCGTGCAAGAATGGGCCATAACCATCTAGTTATATTAAAGAGAATTTTTCACAAAGCACCATCTTTTAGTCCTAATTAGCCATTAATAGAAACCCTTTGCTATATTACGTCCTATAGATATCTTTTATGCAATTCTATAATGTATTTAATGTATTTAAGGTAGGGTATTTAATAATACAACAAAAATTAGCGGCGTACAAAAAGGAAATCCAGCTAATCCTGATATGTATTTACTTGTATTCAAACGTATGTAGCGCTAAATACGTAACGTATCTGCGCAATATCTGGGTCGGCGAAGATGTTAAAAATGGAAGGAAATCAAATTAATTCTGATTTCCCTAATTTTACTCAACAAACTTAAAAGTTATCCAATCAATCTGTATTCTTCTCAAACTCAGAAATACAGAAACGTGAAAGAAGCGAAGAAACAGAGCAACATGCTTCTATATTGTGCGATTTTCTTCTCCTCCTTATCGATTGATACAAATTATATACAAAAGAAGGTATAACTCTTCTATATATATATGGCAAGCTTGACAGTTTTGTTGCGTCATTCTGGAAAGTGGAACGATGAGGGCAATTATATCGACTTTTCCATTGAGGGAATACTGATTAAGGAGTATGCTTCTTTTAATGATCTAGTTGGTTCAATTTCTAATCAACTGGGTATAGATTTGAGCACAAATACCATTAAAATACAATACAATGTTGAAGGCAATCGCACGCCAATGGAAATACACAATGATATGGGTTACAGAGTGTATGTAGAATTGAAAAAAGAGAACAGAGAATTTGGGATGTATCCTCTGTGCATTACAACTATGGAAAAAGAGCTTATCTCCGAAGATGGTTTAAATCAAGGCGACATTGTGCAGATAGACGAAGCAGTTCAAATGTACGATTCCGATACAGATGATACACTAGCTATAGAACTTGCCAATTCAGGAGAAGCGATTGGAGTGTTCGAACTCCACAAGGATTTGATAATTTCAAAAACTAATCAAAAGGAGGTTATGGCTGGACAAGTTTATAAGGATAAGGCTACATTGAAAGAGGTGATG